TGATCTTAGAAGTATTTTACTTAGATAATGGTCATCTCTTTTGAAACACGTGACGCATTCATAAAATAACTTCCTCTGTAAGGTTCACACCCAATTGTCAGACATCCCATTTGGCAGGTGACCGAATCATCAGACAGACCAGTCAAGTGTGACCAGTGTATTCGCCTGGTCTAAACTACTAATTACTGTGCTGCTCTCGACTGTGGGCAGAGTAAGCTATTCACCACTCGTTAAGTGATACAGATTAACCAGATTTCTCTACGCTGGGCAAACACTGGTCTACATCATATAGTTGTCATAATGAAAATAGTATTAAAGCATTATTGTCACATGCAATAATTATACTGTTCGGTATCATTAGTAAACTTTGCAACCACATATTATGTGAAACATTCTATAAGAGGTGAGGAAATTGAATGAAGCAGTGGTAAAATCTAACCATATATACAAAGTTGTATATTTTGGAAATACCAACTATACAAAATTGTATATTTTGGAAATATCAAATATACAAAATTGTATATTTTGTATATATGGGTATTTTTTCTTGTGTAAGTTGGTGTAGGATAGTCTTCATATCTGACATTTCCTTCTTCAATTCTGGTTCAGACTCCATGGCTCTCTTGACGGTACAGGCCTGTTTCTGTTGGCGAGCTGATGTGGCGCTATGTTGATCTGCCTCGATTTCACGTAGTGCTTCCAGTAAGTCCACAAAGTTATGGATACTGTCAAATTTGTGGCCAGATATATTTTTCAAAGATGGGTTAAGCCCAGTCCACAGCATATTATGGAGCATCTCATCCCGTGTCTCATACGTGATGGAGTTATCCCTCATGGCCCTTGAAAGAAGTTCCTCGAGTCTACAACTCCATACAGATACATCCTCTTTCTCTTCCTGCCGAGCGCTGTAGAAAAGTGCCATACTGCACTCTCTCCTCTCCACAACACCAAACACGCTTTTGAACTTCCTAAGTAAGTCAGTGGTGCCGGCGTCTGGTTGCATGTGAACGGCAATCTTGGCCGCCTCCCCCTTTAAGGAATCCCTTATAGCTTGGTCCTTAGCTTCAGAGGAATAAACCTTGTTGTTAATGAGACAATCTACATGGTATCTCCAGACTTCATAAGATGTGTCTTTGCCAGATTTGTCACCGCTGAAATTTGGAAGTCTGGGAAACTTCTGATACATGTAGGTAGGCATGCCTGATGGTGGCTGTGGAGCTGTAGCTTGGGCTATTCCCTCCTTGGATTCCCCCTCTGATTTGACTGCAGAGTATTCATTCATCCATGTTGCAAATTCCTCTGGGGTGTCTGCTTTGGGTTTAACACCTAACTTCTTGAAAGCCAGGACAATATTCTTCAATTCATCACCGGTGAGTTCCATCCTTATAAATAAATATTCGTCCAAGACTCGGAATGAATTGTTCACAATGACTATCAGAGTCAACAACTAAAACCAACTGAAAACCATGCTAAGTGTAGAACGGATACAACTGTCGTTCTATAAACGTACACTGAAAAACAGTTACAACTGTCGTTTTGTTGACGCACAGTGTGTTTGTGTGTACGGTTTGGGTTTAAATTGGATTAGATGGTTTAATTTTGGTTTAAATTGGTTTAAGTAAATATAGTTGTCGTCCAACTATACAGCAAAGTACATTGTACAGTGTATGTATAGAACAGTTTAGGTGAAAGCAGTTTCAAAAGTTACCTTTTCTGACCCGATAATACCACCTCTTAATGAACTATCACAACATTACACTGTCACTTAATAACAGCAATTACTTCACCTCACCACCCTCTTGTGGTTGAGGAAGTGTAATGCAGTTATACATGTGACAGCAACACATTGTACTTATTGTATGATACCCGAAAAGGAAACACAATGTAAGGTAGGTATTAGTAGTACTAAGTAACTGTATAGGAATAAGTAACTTTAATTACTTAATGTGGCTAAGTTACTTCATGGCTAACTACTACAAGGTTAAACATAACACCAATAATACTGAATGAATATGATACTGTACTGTGATATCTATCCTATTGAGTTCAACCCCACTGACTAACTAATAACTAATGTCATAAAACATTAATCCTATTAGAAATACATGACCCAAAACAATACTAAATCACTAAATAGCAAATTTTAGTATGCAGGGTGAGTGATTAATACGTGCTCTATTGTCTGTTCAGTTCAGTGATCTGTCTGTTGTCAATGAGAAAAAAACAATAAGGAAACCTACTAGCCTATATAGGTGAAGGTATAAGTATTTACGTAACTTTAGGGTAAGTTAGGTTTATGTTTCTTTGGAATGAAAGTTAATAATTTATTTACTCTCCCTCACAACACAAGATTCATTCACACTAAACTTGAAACTGAGATTGAATATGCCAGCATGACTATAATAAACCATGGTATACCAAAGCATGAAAACAACAGGAAATATATTTCAAATGGATCAAATTAAACAAACAACACAATCAGTGATCACCGGTATATTTGCAAATCACGACAACACGGCGCGTCAAGGGGATCCCGCGATCTGTGAAAGTGGCCAAGCATCTCGTTTCCACGTACTTACAACGAATAGTCCGAACATATATTTCACGAATGTCACAATCAAGAGTCACTAATCATGCCACGATAAACATGATAACGCGTAGGCCTATATGACAATACGTATATTAGATAACGTGAAAGGCTGAATTAATCAACTATTCAAGCACTATGGCATCCCGGGCAAACCATCACTGTTCATTCCCACATGTAGTCGTCAGATCCACACTCAATCATCAAGGTCCTCACTGGGGGCTCCATTTTGTAGCAGAATATGTGTGTGCATCGATAAATGATGTCAAAAACACAGCTACGGGTGTGATTCGTTTATTAGATGACGAGTGGTATACCCTTTCTTTCACACCCTGAAATGCACAATAACACTCAATAATAATCTTGTAAATTATGACAATTAAAATGAGAACATGATACTTCATTAGGATTACCTTATACATATATAGAGGATATGTATACGTCCGAACATGCTACATCATTAGAATTACATTATACATACATATAGTATATGCATACATCAAATCAAAATACTTCTTATTGGTGTAAAACGTGATCAATAGATAAACATAATAATAATAATAATATATATTTACATTTGGTGATAAGTAAACATACCAGAAGTATGGCCTCTAGGTGTAGGTTACACTTTAGCCTGTCACGACTACATGGTCAGGGCTACAGTGACATCAAAGTACCTATAAATATGGAAGTTATTCTAAATGTACAATAAAACTAGCTTCCTTACACAATGCTCTTGCACGTGTGGACATTATTGTCAAATCAGTGCTATTGTTTATACATATTTACAGATCTGAACACAGCACTACCATAAAACACAATAAATTACTAAACATCCTAAAACTATCATAAATGTCCACACACTTACAATACATTTAACACATATATGATAATAGCCTCATAACATAGTCAAACAACACTCTGTCCAGGAGAATCAGACATTGACTAAATCTCACACACATCATAACAAATACCTTATTTAACGTACACCTATTTATATAATCATATTTATGAAAAGATAGATTTATATATGTTTACGTATTAAATTGGAAACATACCTTGACTTTACAAAATCTGTAAAAGGTGTCCACTTGCTGTCGTCTGTCAGTGACTTGTCTGTGTAGTGACTGAGGTGCAAGTGAGGGTTAAAAAGCATGCAAAGCTGACCCTAAGGAAAACAATAGGGTCAACCACTCAACCAGAACATTTGCCCTGGCTGACACAAAGGAGCTGATAGGGTAGTGACTGACCCAAGCATAACTAAGTTAAAAGGTGTTGTATCAAATCTTCATTAAAATCCCTAAAGCCCATACTGCAAACTAATACTAAATACTAATACTAAATACTAATATTAAATACTAATATTAATAATTAAACTAATGCTAATACTAACTACAGTATGTATTATTTACACTATATACTAATACTGACACAAATAACTAATGCTAATATTAATACTAATAATACTAACTACACTATGTATTATATACACTATATACAACTGGTATATTACTGGTTAGTTGACAGTTAGACAAAACCTGTAACTGCCACACAAACAGTGTGTTTTTTAACCCTGATTTAGTTAAGACAGGGGCAGCCTTTCCCCATACAAACAGTGCTTTTCTAACCCCAATTAAATTTATACAGCGGCAGCCTTTCGTTATACAAACAGTGCTTTTCTAACCCCGACCTAATTAAAACAGCGGCAGCCTTTCGTTATACAAACAGTGCTTTTTCAAACCGTGATCTAATTAAGACAGTGGTATTATTTACATTATCTGTTACTAAAATCTGCACAAATGTTCTATTTCTTATGTAAAATGCTGTCAACATAACGAAATATAAATTATTTCATAACACTCCAAATATAGTTGCCATAATGAAAATAGTATTAACGTATTATTGTCACGTGCAATAATACTGTTCGGTAACATTAGTAATGTTTTCAAACCCACTGAATACCTCTTACGAGCTCAAAAAATTCAGTGAAGCAGTGGTAAAATATATCCATATATACAAAATTGTATGGTTTTGGATATACCAAATATACAAAATTGTATATTTTGTATATATGGGAATTATCCCTTGTGTTACTCAATCATGAAACAAATAGAGCGGTTTAGTATTTCAATATCTATTTCAATGTTAACTTGAAAATTAAACGGTATTATTGATTCCAAATAGATTTGAAATGTTTGAAATCAGGCAGATTCCATATATGTATAGCAGGCTATATAGGGTGTAATGTTTATTTTATGTTTATGTCAAAGCAAGTTGCAGAGCATATTACAATTATTAGTCATACTTTGGAACAGAAAACGAGGATTGTTTGTCGGGGGAGAATAATGGATTTATATTACATCTTATATACAAAATATAGTACTACCCTGCATGTATTAACATATTTTTTCAGGCTGCAGATACTTCGGAGATGAGGGGAAGATGTAAGTTCCAAACGGAAGTTTGTAGTAACCACATAAGTTATGTAGTAAAATAAAACGTTCAATGGGACTGTAACACTTGCAATGTAAGTTTAACACACGTTACCATTATCAGTTTTCATACACCTCTTAATGTAATATCAGTGGATTAAAAACGTTTTTCCTCATGCTCACATAACGACTATGAGCATCGTGAATGAATGAATTGAACTACTGTCGAGCAGAATCAATAGTTTTTTGGATATATATGTCACCTTTATATTTTTTAAAGATGTGGGTAGTTTGTAAGTTTCAAACGGACGTTCTGGATCGCAGAAGTAATCACAGAATCAAGGAGAAATGTAGTCTATGTAGAAAGTTACGATTATCAATATAAGGCTATAATGTGTTACATATTTTCCCAATACCTTTAATGGTCTTGATATTTTAAAAACAGTGTGTCAAACGAAAGGGTTAAATGCTCCTATTTTGTAGTTCAAGTAAAGACTACGAGCATCGTGAATGAATGCCGCTCACAACTGTTAAGCAGCAACAATCAGCGTTATTTGTTCATGTCATCTTTCTGTTTTGATAAAGATACGTCGTTTAGGCACTAACTTGTAATATTTGATTTGTGCGTGAGAATATGATATCATAATGATCAAAATTTTCGACAGCTCCACCTCTGTCCGGAGACGATATGGCCAGCACAATAGAGGATCGACTGGTGCTGGAAAAAGGCTCCCTTAATAAGGTATTACAAGCTCTGCTGAAGGTACCATTTACGTCAGGGTGCTAATTTTCTGTTGGTGCATAACTTTGTATTGTGTTTAATGTACAGTCAAATGTAGAAAGGGACATGAGATCAGGACATCTTTGTAGACGCCAAAGTATATAGAGATGTTCCGACACTGTTCCGTCAGTAAGTTGAATGTTTCATTGTATGCTGTTCTTAATGTACGTACCTAATGATACGTGCTCCGTACTGTTATTTTATTGCATGTGGCATGTTCCATATGTACACTGCTTGTTTTCAATTTTCTAGGAGTCAAGGCATAACCCTTGTGTACATTTAGGAACTGGATGCAACCAAAATGTCGATGACATAGGTAAGTTTGTTGCAACAAGAGTGGCCTAACTTTGTGTATGTTTATTTGTACAGTGAAAACTGCATTAATCCTACAAATAAACTCTTGTCCAGGGCAACATATTTCCAGATTAAGCAAGTGTACAAAGTGGTACCATGTTGTGTGCATTTGATTGTTCTCAGTAATAAGTATCCTGAAGGTACATTTCCTCAATTTGGATACGTCACTAAATCAAAACTCTCTTACTGGGATATTTCAGACAGATTAAGGATGATTAAGGATGATATGAAGACAAAGACAACTGATTTGCAACTGAGGGTGGAGACCAAGTTAAAGTTGCGAGCAGGAATACTACCTAGAATACTTGATAAGGTCCTGATACATCTGGAACAGGAACGAGAGGTAACAGAAATCTCATGATCTAGGGTATAATATTTTTGTCATCAATCATATGTTTCAGATTGTGCTGGTCAAACTCATATATTTCTTCCACTGAAACATTGTAGGTTTAACTCTTGCTTATCAGTTCTATATCCCTGTAGACATGCCAGGTCAGAAATCCTCATGTATGTCACCCGAAATGTTTAAAGTGGGGATGTCGCTGACTGTATGTAATTATGCCATGAAGCCATATATTTTTGCTCATGAATTCAGTTACCGGATTATTGTGATAATATTAGAATACTGTGATATAAATGGAAAGGTTCTGACTTGGCGATCACAGGCATTCTCACTGCTTCATTCTAAAGTTTTACTTATTTACGTAATCTGTAGAACAGTGGTTAACTGCTTCAATGTCCATGTACCATTGCAAAATTAACAAGAACGGTCTTATGGATTTCGAACAAATTTTTAAACGACTGTTTTTTGTATCAAAATTAGGCCGATTCTATGCATGTTCAGTCAGCTACATATGGATTATATTTATGTTTATGGTTATGTTTATGTCAAAGCAAATTATGCCCTCATTTCTTGAAATGCGTTTTGTGACTTTTCTCAGGAAGATTTGTGTGGTTTAGATAAGTCTATCATGTAAAACAGTGCATATATAATTATTAGGAAACCAGGACTGTGTGTTGGAGCGAGAAATGGAATTCTATTACTTGTTATACAAAATACTACTACCGTCCATGTGAGTGAGTGAGTATGGTTTAACACATCGTACCCATGTCGGGAATCGAATCCGGGTCGTCGGCATGACGACCCTGCTTGTATTTCAATAGACGTTTTTCAAGATAAATTGTCATATTTTTCAGGCTGCAGCAACTGCAGAGATAAGGGAAAGACGTAAGTTCCAAACGGAAGTTTCTAATCAGAGAAGTAAATACAGAAGTAATGTAATTGCAGTGTAAATATATGATGGGGCACCAATGAAACATATAATGAGACTCTCAATTCAATGTACGTTTAACAAGTTACCATTATCAGTATGATGCTGACAAAATAGAGTCTTCATACACCTTTAAACCTCTTATCAATGGATTAAATATACGTTTCCTGATGCTTAAATACAAATTATGAAGATCCTGAATGAATGACATTGAACTTCTTTTGAGCAAAATCAATAAAATTTAATTTTTTATTTCACCTTATTATTTTGATACAGAATTAATGCTTGCGCACTTAATGCCAATTGTTTTATCTATGCAAAAGGATGTGATAATAGTAGTTTTGTGCAGTACTTTGGGACCGCTCCTGGCTTCTGATTGGTCGAGAGGATCACGTGACCTCTGTGACGTCACATCCGGTCACGTGACCTGCGCATGCGCGCGGGGCATGATGGGACTTGCGTGCGCATCCAAGATGGCGGCCCATCCGTTTCCTGTGGCGTGCGCATCCAAGATGGCGTCGCATCCGTGTCCGGTGGCGTGCGCCTTCAAGATGGCGTCGCATCCGTGTCCGGTGGCGTGCACATCCAAGATGACGGCGCATCCGTGTCCGGTGGCGTACGCATCCAAGATGGCGTCGCATCCGTGTCCGGTGGCGTACGCCTTCAAGAGGGCGTCGCCTCCGTTTCCGGGGAGGAGGGATGGGGAAAAACCCGGAGAAGCGCACGTAAAAGGTGAACAGGATCGACATTGAAAGAAGCGCGTCAAAAATCTTTTGTTGTTGTTGTTGTTGTTGTTCTACACATAGACGTGGGGGTGGGGGTGGTGGTGGTGGTGGTGAAGGGAGGGTGGTGGTGAAGGGAGGAAAGTGGGAGGAGGAGGATGGAGGGAGGGAGGAAAGGAGGAGACGGGTCATGGTGTTGGCTGGAGGGTCGTCAAAGCAAAGGAGGATAGTTGTCTTTTGGGTGAGATGGCGATCCTGTTTTGTTTTTCTTCATCCTACAGACAACACAACACGACTATGGGTTCGCCTTCTTTTTAATCCCCCGCTCACATGAACCAACACAACAAAACAAAAGTCACAGGATTAGGGGCGTCCCTGTGACTTTTGTGAACATGAACGTATGTACACGTATGTGAACGTATGTACAGTTTGAAAAAAAGAACTTTTGCCACTTTGATAATGAACGTATGTACATTCCTAAAACGCAGTGGACGTATGTACACTCCTCAATCAGGAATGTTGACAGTCAGGTGATCGTAGGTTCAGTGAACAAGTGTCAGGTCAATAAGGGCAGAAAGGTTGGTTGTTTTGATGTAGGGTACGCGTCTGGGCACTCAGTCGAAAGGCAGGCATCTCATCCACAGGAACGGAGGTAGACACTTTGGTATGGAACCATGCTAATACCGTGGCATCATTCTTGGCGGTGTCCTTCCAGTCCAACGTATCTAACACTTGATTAAAAGTCCACCCACGCACGCGATAGGTCAACATGTAGAGACAGTACACGCCACACAACGTGCTGTATCCATGTTGTAAGGGGCGTGTATTCCATCGTTGTTGAATCTGACCCATGCGATTCAAAGTCTCTTTAAACAGGGGTAATGAATACAGTCCATAGCTATCCATCATTTCCACGGATCCAGCAGCTGGACGATAGATGCTCACCCAGTGTGTGCCAGGTTGATCGCTTAAATCTGTGTTGATCACGTAGGCTTTGGGGTAAAAGGGGTCATCCTGTTGCCATCCCAGTCTGGCAAAGTCATCTCTGGCCAGGGTGCCCCGGTAGATGGCATGAAGTGGTTCGTCATCAGCCACGAGGGCTTCTAAATCCAAGGTGCTCAACCCGAGTGGTTCATCCATGGTTCCTTGTAGGAGGAGAAAAAGTGTGGCATGACCGTCTGATGCTGCTCTTTTTATACCATCATCGCAATCCGGAAACGATCTATTTCCAGAACATTTTCGTATTCCTCATAGCAGATGAGGGTGACTGGGTCCTCGAGAGCTTGTCCAAACTGGATTTCCAAACCCAACTTGCCAGTGTGTCGAGGGTAGTTGATGCCTTCATCAGCGCCAAGGTCTGGTGTAAGATCCACCACCCACAAGGTGTAACCTTGAGTAAAGGCCTTGGGAGTCAGTTTGCAGGTCTCAGGTCGCCATAGCTGTCCCGTGTTTCGGAACAGATTCATGTAGACTTGTTTCAAATGGGCGCTGTTGTTGCTGAAGTCGCTTTTCATTTCCGTGCCATGGACTTCCTGGACGTTGACTTTGAGCTTCATCATGGTGACATGATTGTGTTTGAAGTTGTACGGATTCTTCTCTTTGCTTCCTACGTAGGCACTATTGTCCACCAGTCCAAGGACCACGCGTTTTGGTAATTGGCCACCGATGAGGTGATCCTTGTGAAAGTCCCTACCGCCTCTCGGGATGTCATGGGCAGTCACATGCACACGTGAAAGGGGATACTTGGCAGTCACCCCAGCGTTTAGACTGGACACGTGTGTTTCTCGGACAGCAGGATCGATGTTGAGCTGACGGACATAGAATTTGGCTTTGGTCAGCGCTAGTTTGTAGACACCATCAGCAGCACACATGAAGAAGAACTCATCGGGACTTCGTAGCAATTCCAGTTTCATAGGGACACCATCCAGCAGATAACGGTCTTGAAGAAACAGATCACTGTGTAGACGGCCTGTAAGTTCCACTTCTTTGGTGGGTACGATAAGATCGCGGCGCGTTCTGACACCTGTGTTTCTTGTGTTCGCATCTGCATCAGGATTGAAGACGTCCATTTTACCAGCATCGTCGGTGAACCATCCAGGACATCGAAGGTGAGATGTTTTGGCTCCTGTACCATAACTCAGAAGGGTTTCCAAGTAGGCTCTGTAAGGGTAAGTGCCCATGGAGGGTGTGATCTCCAACTGATTGTGTCCCACTTGCAGCCGCACTTCGCGAAACAGGGAATGCATCACATTGTTGACTGTCGATACAGGGTTATCCGCTAGAACGGTATCCGTGCCATCATCTTTCGTCACACGTAGACATACTCTCAGGTAGCACTGTTTCAAATCAATGTAAGCGTTCACGGGATTGGAAATGTTAAACTGAAGTGGTCCTGCTACAGAGGGTGGTGCCAAGGGACTATAGCGAATCCACTGACCCTCTTGCACAGAGGTGGACACAGGGGGTACAGTAAAGAGATCCAACTGGGCCTTTGAACATTCGCAAGCATCTCGGCGCATCATGATGATAGATGTTTCACCCTTTTCTCTGCCTTGAAGGACGTCTGGTCAGGTTGAAAGTCTGATGAGGACTGACCTTTAAACCGTTTTTCTTTTCCTTTTACGCTGTTTCTGGTGGGTGGTGGTGGTGGTTGGGACGACTTTACGGCTTTTAGGGGGTCTCGGCTCCTCACGTTCCTCCAAGACATCCATCAAAGCTGCTGTGCCGCGATGTTTCAGACTCTCTGACCATTTGCGTTTGCCTCCAACCACATCACTCACCAACCCAGGCAGGATCTTTTTACCCATCTTGAGCACCGATGTTCCGGCAGATTTAAGGAAAGGCAACGCCATCTTCAAGATACCTCCAAGACCACTGCCGCGTTGATGATAACGTCCTTTGTATACTTTGATACCACTCCCACGCTGGCCGAACTGTCCTCGATTCATCTGGTGTGCCAATGCGTGTCCCAACATGTTGCTTTCTGCGTTAGTAGCGGCGTCTGAAGTGGAGTGTCACGATGGCTTTCCCCATTTGAAATGGCACGGGTCACCCTCTGTCGTCCATGATATAGAGTTTAATACCGTCAAAGGAACCATGACGCAACCCAAGGTAGTGAATGTGCTGAGGGCTTTTAATCGCCACACTGTCTTGCATCATCTTCTTTGACACAGGCACGTAGATCAGCAAGGGAGCCATCGTATTGCCCACAATTTGATCTTCGACCAGGTTGGTGTAAATGTACACAGTATCAAATCCTGACAGACGATGTGCTTTTGTGTCACCTGTGATTTCCACATAGCCACCGGTCATGGGAGTAGCCCCCACTGAATAGACGCCTTTCTCGATAGGAATCTTCTTGCTTTCATAATGGACGACACCATACTGTGGGTGTGGTATAGCGCTCCCCGCGCTTTCATACACAAGGGTGTCTTTTTTCAGTTTGAGGTTCAGCGCAAACCAGTCAAAGGGTGGGGCGACGTTGTACCATGTCATCGGAAAGTGAACTTCGCTGACGCCCACCTCCCACTGTTGACGGTCCAGATGCAGAGGATAAGGCAACTTGATTTCATATGCATTGACGGTGTTGTTTGGATAGATGTCCATGGAGGCATCACTGGGCAGGGTCATGTAAAAGTCTTGTTTCGAAAAAAAGATGGCAGCCATGATGACGTGAGTTAGGGTAGAAAACTCTGGGTGGATGAGGTATCAAGTTGAAGTCTTCTGGTGGGCAGGGTCGTCGTGGGTATGCCTGGTGAGGCGGCCAAGGTGGGTGGTGGAAGTATGTATCCCAAACAACTGGAGAGCAGGGCTGTCCACAACTGTTTCTCTCCGTGATCCAAGGCCAACTGTACCATGCTCATGATGATCACGCCATATATCACAATGATCTGAGCAAAAACCACGACTTCACTGCGGGGTAACGTCATGCCAAAACAACACCAAGGTGAGTGTCGGCGCTGGTGATGACGAGGTGCAGCAGCAAGGGGTGGTTCATCGGTACCCACGGATGCTGAGAGGCTTCTCTGCAGAGGTGATGACGGTGGTGGTGGTGGTGGTGGCGGTTCTGTCATCGCGTGTGTCCACCCTCTGAATGAGTCTGAGAGACAGCATGCTCCTTATTTTATCTGTAAATGATCTGCAGGGATCCACGAATTAAAACTGGCAGGGTAGCCAGTCCATTTCACCAAGACCTCTTCTTGACCCTGTTTCGGTCCTGGACGTCTTTTCAGCAC